ATCAATGATACATATCTAGAGATAGAGATAAATAAATCAATAAATCTAATGCATGTCTGTTCAAAAGTAAATCCCATTGCAGCTTCTAGTTGTTTTTCTTAAATGTTCAGTTATCTGAATATATTACATATTTAAGCATGGTTTAAAGTTAACATTGTGCCAGTGTCTTAACTCATGTGATGGTGAATCATTTTAGAATCATTAAAATATACTTTATTTACTGAATTAAGATAATTATGCTCAGGGATAATTATTGTGTAAGTTTTATTGAACATACTACTCTCTTACAGACTGGAGGATATGTGCTTGGATTTAAGATTGACCCAGCTGAAAAACTGGAGGAAACTGCCAAAGAAATAAATTCATTGCATAAAGTATTTTCAGTCAGTCCTATATTTGGAGTAGACTATGAAATGGAAGAAAAGGTACACTTTGAAATTTTGATCAACCCCTGCTTTTATTTAAAGATATTAAAGAAATGTAGCTGGTTGTTTCAAATTGTTTTCTTTATCAATATTCAGCCTCAACAGCTAGAAGATCTGACAGTGGAACAAGTACAGGAGGATGTAGAAATAGAGGCAAATGAGCAGACAGATGCTTTTGTGGTAAGTGTCTGTTAAAACTAATAAGCTTTCCATTGTTTCTCTGTACACTTACGCGTACTAAACATGGTCAGCATGTCATACTGAGCTCCCAGACCACGTCAAAATGTTAATAAACTAAGATATAGCTTAATGTTTTAAGTGTAACGTTACACTTACAATGACTTTGTCATTTTATGCTATTAATTGAGGAACCCAAGAAGTTATCAGTTAAGGATAGTTGTCCTTTATTCATTCATTTATTTATTTATAACTATTGTGTGCTGCCTACGCAAGCAACAGTGAGCGATAACATCACCCTAGACAAAAAAGTCCCAGTTCTCTTTTTAATACAAGGAACAAATTAGCTGTTTTTGTTGCAGGTGGTATATCAGATTAAGGCTAATTGCTTTATTTGCTGTAGGTTCTATGGGTTATACCTATTAATAGGAATTTGTTGAAAAACAAGATTTTAAATTGAAAATGAATGTATTTTATTTAATACTAATTAAATTACATAGGTGATGAGAATTTCATATATTTGAGATATTATAATGTAGTGATTATAAATATAAGTATTCATGTAATATTCAGTATGAATTTTAGACATACTGGATAATGGGAAGTTTTTCAGTGAATTAAGTTACTGCCTGTATTTCAGTTAAAAATAATGCTGAATAATGAACATATATCACAATAACCTATTTTTATTTTTCTGTCATAGGCTTATTTTGCTGATGGAAACAAGGTATTTTTTTAAAGTTACAATAAAACTGAATTACTTTCTTGTTCACGGTATTAACCACAATTTGCTTACATTTTTTTTTCTTGCTGATGTCCTGCAAATAGCAACAAGACCGTGAGCCTGTTTTTTCTGAAGAGCTAGGACTCGCCATAGAGAAACTAAAAGATGGATTCACGCTGCAAGGACTCTGGGAAGTATTGGGTTGATATTCATCTTAAAAACATTGAATAATGAACTAAATATATTTTGACTCTAAAAGTCATGCTGCAGTCTTTTTTAATCAATCAAGCTATAGCTACCTCTTTTATGTAGACTGCAAGAAAAAATAATGTTCCTGTATAGTTTTCACATAATAATTTCTTGTATTTATAAGATATTTAAGCTCTGCTTTGTATTTTTATACAGTGCTTCAATTGCTTGTGTTTAAAATCCATTATGTATTGTTCATGTATGACTGTAAATAAAACTGATACTTCAAGGTGTAAACTGAGAAAAGATGTTCTAAGTCTGAATGAGATGGTTGCTTTGGCAGCTGTGGTGTTTTGCTCTGCATTTTTTAGCTGTGGCTCACGTGCAGTCCTAAATGAAAGAGCAAAACAGTAGATGTATCACTTCATCCCAAGTATGAGGATAGTTTTGCTGGGCCTTTAGACCCAAGGGAAGTTTATTTTTAATAGCCTTTCCCACTGGAAGCCATAAGTAAGGGAGATACATTGCTATCTCTAGTCCCAGGTTGTGGCTCCTCCCTGAGAATGGAAAAGTTTAGAATGAATAGATTGGAAGTTAGCTCTGATTTACCCTGGAATAATTTACTTTATGGAATTAACTGCCATAGTGGGAATACCAGCAAAAATACCTTTCTACAAGCTGAACCAGAACGCTGGGGTGGACAGATTCTCTCCCACCTGTTCTTAAGTCCATCCTAATTCCTTCCATTCAAAGCTTCCCCAATCCATCTATCTCCTCCACTGTGAATCTGGGATTAGGTTTGCTTTACTCGTGGCTAAATCTTATTTTTAGCTCATTCCACTGTGATACGGTGGGCAGCTCACAAACCCATGTCCCACAATCCCACTGCCAGAATGGCCAAATTTTGGTAGCATTATTTCTTGGCAGGTGGTTATTGTTTTACAAAATTAAGGGTGGGAATTAGAGGTTGATGTCTCTGAGATCTTTAACCACTCTCCAAAATTAGCTTAAAGTCACTATTTTTCCCAATTTCTTTTGATGTGGGGGCAGTTAAATGTTAAAGGAGATCTACTGTTGTCAGGCAGTTCACAACACACAGTCACAGAACTGAGGTGAGGGCTGAGAATCAGAGGCTATTTGAGACCTGGAGAACCACTGGATTCTTGACTCTCAATCTGTTTAACATCTGGAAAACTGTACTCAGCAATTACGAGAAAGTGATGATCTGGGAGAAGTGTTGTGGGCTGGCTGTCATCCTTTGGGTGAAAGATGAAGAGTGATAGTAGAAAACTCCTCTGGAATTGAGAATGCTAAGGAACTGATTCAGGTGAGAGCAGTGTCAAGGGGGAGGGAGGAGGCAAGGAGGGATGAAAAAGGATATAAGCTGATACATGCTGTAGACGTTATAATGGTGTGTTACATTATCACAGCAGTCAGAGTGAGATGGTGATAGTTATGTAAGCTGCGAGGAATTGGGGTGTTAGTTGTTTCCATGAGTCATCTTGTGAGAGAGGGGATGGAGTTAGAGAAGTGGGAGACTGCATCAATGTGGTGATGGGCAAAGGGAGGCATGATGGGAAATCAAGACTAGGCCACCTTCAGGGAAGGAAGATTGGAAACCACAGGCCACTCTTCCTTCTAGACCACCATTCTCATCTGAGGAGCCAGGTAATGGGGCTTTGTTGTTTCCTGGGAGGCCTCATTAGTGTGGTGATATGCACTATGTGGTATGGTGGGAAACAAACTGAACCCCTTGACTGGAGATTGGGAAGCTTAAGCTAGTCTCTGCCTCTAGACCACTGTTCTCATCTCAGGAACCAAATAGTGGGCTTCATGGGGTGGGGAGGGAGATAGTATTCAGTTGGACTGCCCAAGGCACCTAATGGACCTTACCTGCATATGAGGAATTTCCAGAAGCCCTGGTGGGCAGCTCTGTTGAGTGCCTGGATAATCTCTGGACTAAGAGGTTGGCTGCAGTACTTGACAGAATTACTCCTGATCAGCCTCTTTGGCCATTGATCCAAAGGAGCTTCTTATTTTCCCAATAAATTATAGGATATGAAACATCTTAAGAAATGTGTAGGGCAACACTGGCATAAAAAGTGAATGGGTCCAAACACAGGCCAGAGCTCATGTTTGGACCTACAAACCTGAGTGGTGTCTAGAGTGGTGAAGCATGCTTGCTTCTCCACTCTTGCATCCCCAGAAAGCTACCAGGCAGCATTATTTAAAGTGACACAGTCCCTATTAGAGCAGAAATCAAACTGGAAGTTCATCTGCTGGGCAGGGGCAATTTAGAAGATAAAATGTCTCATATTTACTCAGATACCAACTGGGTAGGTCCAGTTGAGAGGATAGAAGCCTCATCTTGCAAGGTTATCTGGGCTAGATTTAAGCCTGTGGATCCTGAGGAAGTTGACAGGGTTCTCTGTGCTGTTAAGTTGGCTACCTGTGCACTGGGCTCCTGCCCCACCTGTTTGGTGAAAGCTGCCAGATAATGGGAGACTAGGTGTGGGCAGCCCCTTGAGTGAGAAGATGTCTCCTGCCTTGAAAGAGACTTTGGTGAACCCCTTCTCCAGAAACCACTGCTCATCTCAGTTGTTTTAACTATTTAAAGATCATTGAGAAGGATGTTGGATTACAGTTACAAAATGTTATGGATGAAACTTATTAACCCTTTCTAGTCAAGATTCAGGTTTGGGTGTGGGACCAAAACTGCATTGGTCACTGTTGATGCAATGCATTGACCACTGTTGCTGATGACCTTTGGCAGGACCAGGATCGATGAGGGTGACTTTCCTGGTCCTGCTTAATCTTTGGTTGGTGGCTTTGGATACCACCAACCATGGTATTCTTCTGAGCCAACTACAAGAGTAGAAGTGAAAGACACTGTTAGACAGTGGTTCTCCTTCCTGAATAGTATGTTCCAGTTGGCAGTGTTGGAAGAAGTCAAGCCCTAGGAAGCCCCAATATGGGGTGCTACAGGTCTTGGTGCTCCTTTCCCTGCTGTTTTACCAGAAGTAATCTGGTAGGCAAGGTAATCTGTTGGCATATCATCAATATGCTGGTGATACCCAGTTATGTATCTCCTTCCTAAGCCTGGCAGAAGTTGTGGTAGAGGACCTGACCTGTGCCTGTAAGCTGATAGGGAGAAACAAGGTTAGACTGAGCTCCAGGAAGAGATAGCCCCAGCTATGGAGTTACACTCCCCAGATGGGACTAGCTCACAAACTAGACTCATAGCTGGACTGGACTCATAGCTCCGGCTTGCCCAACAGGTGAAAGCTGTGGCCAGGATGACATAGGTCATTTGACATTTTGGTGTTTATAGAAATGATGTATGAGCCCCTAAATAAGGTGCCACTGCTTTAATGAAATAACAGCTACTGTGCTCACAGCTTCTGCATTATTTTCGAAGCATGCACAGTCCTAGTGAATACGTATGAATTCATAGTACCAAAATCCAGTAACAATTCCAAATTATTTTTCTCATTGTAAATGTTGTTTACAAAAAGATATGGATAAAAGTAACACAGCATAATTTTGCATCCACTGAGTCAAGACTGTTGTATGGAAAATTAAATGTCATTAATTGTTTGATAGAAAAACAGTTTCTATGTTTTCAACTACGTTTCACACATTATTTCGATAAATAGCAAAGTGGCAAATGATATTTCAAATCATAACATAACAAATCTAGTTATTTTACCAACTAATCTGAGTATATGCTGAGAAGTATAGCTAAATGTCCCTTAACATATTAGTAATATTACTAATATTTTAGTCTTGCAAAAGTCAATGAGACTTAATTTTCAGATCTAGACCAGCACTGCCGGTGATGTCTCTTCTGTACTAAAAATAAATAGACAGGAAATTCAGTAAACTGTGTCAAGCACCAAGCTTTGAATGACATCCTGATACCGTGAAAATTAGACTGTTTATGTTAAAGGCTATACAAGTAGTCCTCAGATTACGACAGCAACTGGGACCAGGTTTACCGTCACTAAGCAATGCGATTGTAAAGCATGATGTCACATGACCACATCACTTAGCGACAGCAATCCTAGCAGTCCCAGTTGCCATTGTAACCCCAGGACCATGTGAGTTGTTTAGCAGGAGCCACAGGTAAGGAGCACAGGGAATGGGGGCTGCCACAGGAGGGCCAATGGGGGCTGTGGGTGAGCAGGGGGGAGGTGCTACAGGCAGACACATGCTACAGATTGCAGGTAAGCAGGAGACTGCTATGGAGTATGAAATCCCTGGGATATCATACCCCACAGTGGGGCTCCTCAGGAGAAAAAGCGGCAGGAGCAATTTACTGGAGCGATTTGTTACCTTCTCTGCCAGCTTCCCGTTGACTTTGCTTGTGGGAAGCTGGCAGGGAAAGCCGCAAATGATGATCACGTGACCACGGGGGTGCTGTAACAGCCTCAACTTTGCAAACTGGTCGTAAGTCCCCCTTGTTCAGTGCCATCGTAATTTTCAACAGTTGCTGAACAAGTGGTCGTAAGTCAAGGACTACCTATAGTAGAAAAACAGTACCCAAGCTCTCAAATACCTGATGGTATGTTATGATTTCACTATGATTTGGCTTAAGCCCTTTTCCATTTTTCAGCCTATTGCAATTCTTAAATGATATGAAACCCATCTTTAGCTTGGTTGAGCATTCATGCCTAGACTACAGTGCATTCGGAAAGTATTTAAACCCCCTTCACTTTTTTCAATTTTGTTATGTTGCAGCCTGATACTACAATCGTTCAAATTCACTTTTTTTCCTCATTAATCTACACTCAGTGTAGATTACATAATGACAAAGTGAAAACAGAATTTTAGAAATGTCTGTAAACTTATTAAAAAGGAAA